TCAATCCCATTTGTTCTAGGGTCACATTTAAGTGCCTTGTATCTCTGTTTAGTTTCTGTTTAGAGGATCTGTCCAGTTCTGTCAGAGGGGTGTTAAAGTCCCCTGCTATTATGGGGTTTGGGATATCATATTGCTTAGACCCATTAAGGTCTGTTTCATAAATCTGGAAACATTTAAGTTGGGTGCATAACTATTTAAAATTTAAATGTCTTCTTGTTGTATTGTTCCCTTGACCAATATAAAGTGTCTATCTTTGTCTTTCTTAACTTTAGTTGCTTTAAATCTGTTTGTATCTGAAAATAAGATTGCTATCCCTCCTTTCTTCTGATTTCCATTTGCTTGAAATACTGTTTTCCATCCCGTAACCATGAGTCTTGATTTTTCCTTCAGGGCTAGATGTGTCTCCTGGAGACAGCATATGAATGGCTTTTGCTTTTTTTTACCCAGTTAGCTAGGCTGTGCCTCTAATTTAGTCCATTGACATTTACTGAGAGAATTGATAAGTGTGGTGGAATTCTATTCATCTTATTTTGTGAGAATTTGTTGTGTAGTTTTATTCTTTGTGCCATTGTAGAAGCTAATTTTTAGTCTTTGGCTTCTGGGTGTTTACTTTGCTGGTGGTCCATTGTGATGATCGGTGTTGAGAACAGATCTAAGTATTTCCTGGAGAACTGGTCTTATTGTGGCAAATTTCCCCAGTGCTTGTATATCTGAAAAATATTTCATTTCTTCATTAGTTTGGAAGCTTGGCATAGCAGGCTATGGAATTCTGGGCTGAAAATTGTTTTGTTTAGATTATTGAAGGTGGATGACTATGCTTTTTTAGTTTGGAAGGTTTCAGTTCAAAAGTCTGCTGTCATCCTAATGGCTCTGCCTCTGTGGGTCAGTTGGTACTTTCTCCTGGCTGCTTCCAGAATTTTTTCTTTAGTCTCAAGTTTGGACAGGTTCATTCAATGTGTCTTGGAGAGGCTCTGTTTGAGTTGAGATGACCTGGGGTTTGATATCCATCTGAAAGGAGTGTGTCAAGGTCTTTAGTAAAACTTACAAAGTTTTCCTTCTTGATAGTCTCCAGTAGGGCTTCCATTCCTTTGGGACAATCTTCTTCCTCTTTAGGAATCTCTATTATTTGTATGTTTGAATGCTTCATGGAGTCACATAGTTCTGTAAGCACCTGTTCTGGTTTCTCTCTCTTCTTTACTGCTTCTTTAACTACCTAGGTTACCTTGAAAACTTTATCCTCTAGCTCTGAAGTTCTTTCTTCTTCATGGTCTAACTTATTTTGGTACTTTCTACTGCATCTTTACATTTCTTCATTGTCTCCTTCATTTTCTTAAGTTCTGCCATATCCTTTCTATAGTCTACATATCTCTCATTCAACTTCTGGTTCTGTCTTTCCATTTTCTCATCGATTCCTTTTATTGTCTTTATCGTCCATATTTTAAATTCCCTTTCTGTCAAGTCTATTAATTTTTCATAGGTGGAGTTTTCTGCAATAGCTGCCTCATGGTCTTTTGGGGGAGTTTCTCTGTTTTGGTTTTTCTGTTGCCTGAATGTTTCTGTTGGTTCCTCCTCATGTGTACTGTCTTCTTGTTCACCTCCTTGTGCTCCTTTTTCTTTCTCACTGCCTCCTTTGCTTCAAATTACCTTGTCCCAGAGCTTAGGTCTTAAAGTAGCCTCAGCTTAGGCAAAGCCAAATTCTTCCTTGTGGCCAAAGAAACAGAAGTCCTTGCTCTTGATGACAACATGTTGCAATATGTCACCAGGATACCAAGTGGCACTTTGGTGTTTTTAGGAGAAAGAAATCATAGCCAGCAATCTCTATGATCCTTATTCCAAACCTCATTGCCTTTGGTGATCACCTGATTGTTTCCTCAGCATTCAGACCCTGCCAGGTTGGGATCTTAAAGCTCACAAGAATCCTTTGGGGCAGGTCTCATGGTGCCCCTTGACTCTAGTTCCCATGAGGTGTGGGAGTCCCTCAGCTTATCCCAAGAGTAGAGTTCTGGTCCTAGCAGGCGGAATTAAGATGGCTGTGCATTAGGCCCCTGCTAAGGCTTTCTCACGACCTTTCCACAATGGGTTGAGACCTTCTCAGCATGGCTGCCTTGCCAGCCACCAAATGTATGGCAATTCCACTCCAACTGGCATTGAAATCTGGTTGCTGTATCCTGTTTAAGTCTGCTCCCTCTTCCAAGCTTTCCACTTAACATGTAGCTTCCACCAACAACCGAAAACTCCAGAAAGGTTTCCTCCCATCTTGGAGGAACCTTTCCAAGGTCCTCCCCTCTGTGGGGGACCAGCTGATCCCAGCTGATTATAATCCCTTGCCTAATTCATCAGGTTTGCACCACTCAGGATCATATGCTGTATCTAGCTCACCACCTCCTCATTGTGCTCCTTGAGCTATGACTCTGGGTAAGGTCCCTGTACCAGGTATGGCTGGGCTCTCTCTTTTTCCCCAGTCGTTCTAGGAGAGCTCAGTTGAATAGTCCTCTGGTCTGCTGTCTTGGTCCACCCCCTACTACACCCATTTATTATTTCCCTAAACTGTAATTAGAAGTCCAGCATGATACTGCTTGTTCTCTGCTCTGAGTCATACAAGGTTGAAATTAAGGCAGTGGTGGAACTACACTCTCATGTAAGTATCAGTGTCCTTTTCTAAGCTCAGTGGTTACTAGCAGAATTGAGTTCCTTGCAGTTGTGGGAGGGACCAAGGTCCTGCTTTCCAGCTGGCTGTCAAGGAGGGGCCATTCTCAGTCCTTAAAGGCATCCCAGTTACCTGCCAACATGCCCCTCCCCCAAACCAGGCAGATTACTCCTATCAAAAAACATTTTCAATATAGATGAAATAGCCTTCTGTTAGAAGAAGATACCATCTAGGTAGGACTTTTATAGCTAGATAGAAATCAGTACCTAGGTTCAAGGCCTCAAAGGACAGGTTGACTTTTTGTTAAAGGCTAATAAGTGCAGTTTCTGAGTTGAAGCCAGTGCTCATTCACCATTCTGAAAATCCCAGGGCTCTTAAGAATTATGCTAACTCTGCTTATGCTCTGTAAAGGAACAACAAAGTTAGGATGAAAGCACATCTGTTTACACCATAGTTTACTAAATATTTTAAGCCCACTGTTGAGACCTACTCATGAAAAAAAATACCTTTTAAAATATTATTGCTCATTGTTGTCAATGTATCTAGTCACCCAAGAGTACTGATATACAAGGAGTTCATGTTTTCATGCCTGCCAACACAATATCCATTCTGTAGCCCATGAGTCAAGGAGTCATTTTGATTTTCAAATCTTATTATTTAAGAAACACATTTTTTTTAAAGGCTATAGCTGCCACATGTAGTGATTTCTGTGGTGGATCTGGGAAAAGTGTATTTTTAAAGACAGAGTCTCAAGCTGTCGCCCTTGGTAGAGTGCCGTGATGTAAAAGCTCACAGCAACCTTAAACTCTTGGGCTTAAAAAATTCTCTTGCCTCAGCCTCCTGAGTAGCTGGGACTATAGGTGCTCACCACACGCCTGGCTATTTTTTTTGTTATTGTTGTTTTAGCTGGCCCGGGCTGGGCTCGAACCTGCTAGCCTCAGTGTATGTGGCTGGCACCCTACCTACTGAGCTATAAGTGGTGCCCGGATCTGGGAAAAGTATATTGAAAACCTTCTGAAAAGAATTCACTGTACTGGCTGACATTAAGAACATTAGTGATTCATGGGCAGAGGTCAATGTTAACGGGAGTTTGGAAGAAATTGACTCCAACCCTCATGGATGACTTTGAGAGGTTCAAGATTTCATTAGAGGAAGTTACAGGAGATGTAGTAGAAATAGGAATATGTAGAGCCTGAAGATGTGATTGAATTGCTTTAGTCTCATGATCAAATTTTAATGGTTAAGGAGCAACCAATTAAATTTCTTTGGTTAAGCAAAGATAATGGTTCCTTGAGATGGAATGTACTCCTAGTGTAGATACTGTGAACACTGTTGAAATGACATAGAAAGATTTAGAGTATTTCACAAACTTAGTTGACAAAGCAGGAGCAGGGCTTGAGAGGACTGACTCCAAATTTTTTGTTGTGTTTTGGAGACAGGGTCTTAGTCTGTTGCCCTGGCTAGAGTGCAGTGGCTTCATCATAGCTCACTGCAACCTCAAACTCCCGGGCTTAAGAGCTCCTCCTGCTCATTCTCCTGAGTAGCTGGTACTATAGGTAGGTGCCACCATACCTGGCTAATATTTTATAAAGCCAAGGTCTTGCTGTGTTGCCCAGGCTGGTCTTGAACTTTTGGCCTCAAGTGATCCTCTTGCCTTAGCCTCCTAAAGTGCTAGGATTATAGGCATGAATCTCTGCACCTAGCCTGACTCCAATTTTGAAAGACATTCTACTGTGGCTAAAGTGCTTTTGAACAGCATCACATATTATGGAGACATCTTTTACAAAAGGAAGACTCAATTGATGTGACAAACTTCATTGTTATCTTATCTGAAGCAGTTGCCACAGCCACCAGCCTTCAGCAACCACCATCCTGTTTAGTCAGCAGCCAAGGCAAGATCCTCCACTGAGGCTCAGATGATCATTAGCATTTTTTAGCAATAAAGTATTTTTTAATTTAGACATGCTATTTCACACTTAATAGACTACAGTATAGTATAGACATAACTTATATATGCAGTGGAAAACAAAATATGTGTGACTTGCTTAACTGTGATAATTGCTTTATTGTGTAATATTTACTTTACCATGGTGGTGTGGAATGGAACTCTCAATATCTCCAAGGTATGCCTGTAAAGAAAGAGATAACAAATTCCTATTCTCAAGGGACTTTACAATTCAGATAAGACTAGCTTATACTGGGCCACTCCAAGCCCAAGCACTGGGACTGTGGGATAAATATTGTCTGGGTCTCCCCAGTGACTTGCATGGATAAGGAGACCTAGCAGGTTCTCAGCAAATGCTTGCTGTGATGTGGAATTATAATGGTTATGTTGTTGTTGCTTTTCTTGTAGGAAGCAGAGATCACTCTTCAGAGGAAAGTAGAAGCTAAGAAAGAATTTGATGAATGGAAAGAAAAAGAGCAGAGCAAGCTTTACGGGGAAATAGAAAAGCTAAAAAAGTTATTTTGGGATGAATTTAAAAGTGTTGCCAACCAGAACTCTACGCTAGAAGAGGTAGGAGGCATAAAAGGAGTTCAAAGGTCTTTTGCTGAAAATCTGCTTATTTGTTTTCAGAAGTCATTTCTTAGCTTTTACTAGTTTTATTTCGTCTGCTGTTGGGGCTAATCCCCTGTGAGGCCATCAGAAGCCAGTGACTGGGCTTGAGTCGCTGCTCTGTCACTTACTGGCTGTGTGACCCTGGGTGGGTTAGTAACCTCCCTGTGCCCCAGTTTCTTTTCTGTAAGATAGGTTGCTGAAACTGTTAAATTGACACAAATGTAGTATTTAATATTATAGTAGAATATCCATAATATCATGTAGGAGGCACCTGTGAGAAATACTTTGGCGATAAGGGATTAGGGAAGGGACTTAACATCATTTAGCACCATTGATCTCTTGTTAAAGAGCATAAGAGAAAAAGCATGAGAGAATGTACATCAGTGGTTAGCAGTCTCCACACCTGCTGTGGCATAGGTGGCCACTGTAAATGGTGGTGAAAGCAGTAAGATCTTCGCTAGCAAGGTCCACAAGAAAAGTGGGACCTTTGATCACCCATTACAATTCATATAGCAAGGAGGACATTCCGCGAGGAAAGTGGGACCTTTGTTCACCAGTTAACACAATTTACAATAGATGAGATGCAGAAAGTATAAGAGGTTTGAGATATAAGAAGTTTGATAAGAGCTTTGAGATATAAGTTTGAGATAAGAGGTAAAAAGTGTGTGGTTGCGTGCAGGGGCTAGCGTTCCCATTGGTGTGTATGTTGGAAATGGTAAAGAGTGTGGGAGAATGTAGATTAAAGGCAGAAGTAGCAAAAGATGGTGAAAGCAGCAAGATCTTTGAAGAAAAAAAAGATGAAAATAAGAATTGTGACAATTTTAGAAGAACAGTGGTATGATCTCCTAGTTAGTGCACAAAAGGGGGGAATAGGTAGGAGGCACCTGTGAGAAATACTTTAGCGATAAGAGATTGGGGAAGGGACTTAACATCATTTAACATCATTGGTCTCTCGTTAAAGAGCACGAGAGAATGTACATCATTGGTTAGTGGTCTCCACATCTGTGGCAGGTGGCCACGGGATTACTTCTTTAAATAGCTTCGGGAGAAGTTAGCAGAGGCTCGTCCTTCGGCTTTGCTTCTTGCTCAGGGCCTGATCGGCCCTCCCCTACTAAGACTGCTGCTGAGAGATTGCTGCTGAGAGATTGCTGCTGAGACGCTCACTCCTACTAATATTGACTGTGACTTCTAAGGTGCTTCGGCACCTGAGACTTGAACGAGACCTACCCCGAGTAAGCTGGTGCTGCAGCCCATGTCCAGACAGTCGAGTGGGCTGGGGTGGAGACCTAGTGTCCCGGCTCCCTTGAGGCCCTGGGTTGTGGCCGGAGACATGGCATCCTGGGCTTCGACAATATCACTCTATATATTATGCATATTTTTGCAAAGGGCTTTCATCACTAGACAAGAAATGAGGCAAAATTTAAATGAATACATTCTTTTCTCTAAAAATATTCTGAGTGCTGGCTACATGGTAGCATTTACTGACCTGTATTTATTATTTTATAGCCTTTGTGCCATACATTTAATATATATTAACTTTTCATCCCCATACCAACCAAACATCCATGACATTCTCAAAGTAGGCACATCAAGCATTTATTAATTTCTTTTTTAAAGTACTTTTTAATAAAAAATGCTATTATCATTTCTTCTTGACAGGTGAAGAAACTGAGGTCACATAACTTGTTCAGGATCTCTCAGCTAGTAAGAGATGGAGCTGGGATTTAAACCTAGCTCTTTAAACTCTAAAGCCCCTGTTCTTCTACTGGGTGGATAATCAAATTTATGTAGGAAAACCTTATTACAGTTATCCCTGGGTGTAATTTCCCATATAGACCTCTATGAGTAAACCTGTTTCCAGGAAAAAGTTTTGAGGAAAATTATTTCTAAAATGTATTTACCTCTCATTGGTTCTCCTTAATATTATTTTTGAAAATGAGTTGACCCTCATACTTCCCCTGACATGGTGCTAGTTGACTAGACATTTGATACACAGATACCACTTTGAATATCTAGTTGTTCAGAAAGGGTTACAAGGGTTACTTTTGGTTAGGAAATTCTAAGTTTTGGTAACTGAGGACATAATCATTACCATCCATGTTTTCCTTTTTTTCACTTGGATTAAATTCCTCTAAAATGGAACAGCCTGTCCTTTTTTTGGGGGGGGAAGGTCTTTCCCGTACAGGATTTTTTGATGTATTTTTGTGTTCGTGGGTCTCATCCCTGTCTTCTCTCCATATTTTGTTACTTTTATGAAAGTATAGAGCCAAAGTGGATAGAAAATTCTCAGTGTCATTGGATAATTATTTTTTTAATTTATTTTTAAAATTCTAGGGGGAAAATCAAGTAGGATTCCATTTAGAATGCTTATGAAAAAC